TATATTTTTTTTTTTTACTTTACTTCTGCTGCTTACTTACTTCTTCTGATTGTATTTAGGGTCCTAAATTCATAAATGTTGTGCTCATTTGCACAGATGATCAAAATAACAAAACATCATCAACTTTGTTCATCACAGAGCAGCTAATCCAAAATCTTTTGTAAAATTAATCGAAAGGCAAATGGAAAATCTAATAGGTTTTTGTCAAGGGAACCATGTGATGCTAACTTCCAGGTTGGCTTAGAAAATTAAGTCAGCACGGCAGCACTTAATGCACCTCAACTTTATGAATCAGATGTATGAGTTTTGTTTGAAGGAGGTGGGAGATTTACATATGACACCTATGTTGTCCTAAAATATTGACTTGAAGCCCAGTAAGTTTTGGAACAGCCATGCTGAACCCATCCATCTTCTACAGATCATCATGTCTCATGCACCTCAAAAAACACATGGGCATTTGACCAGCACTGCATTCCAGAATATCAGTGAAGTTGAACAAATTATTGATTTACATTTAATGCTGGAAAAACGTTCAGGACATTCCTCTGTCCTCATTTCCCCTGCAAGCATGGTCAGCCCATAACACACATACAGCACTGTTAGCTATGCTAAGATGCTAAAGCACTGGCCAACTATCATCCAAGCATATTCAAATAGCTGTGGATTAGTGCGTCTCAGCTCTCTGCTGCCTGTGATAGGAAAGAACCAGACTTTGTTTTGATAATTTCCCCCTGTTTTTTTCCTTTAAGAATTTCAGGGTTTCGATTCGGCTCCCGCATCTTGTGTGGTGGGTGGCTGTTCTGTATTTTCATTGCAGACTGGTGTGTATGCAGTGTGTGTGTGATGATAAGGCACAGGGAGAGAAGCCAGCGCTCTGACATCTCTCCACCGCCGCGGTTATCGTTTCACCGCAGCTGTTGCCCAAGTCGCACCACATCTGCCACCTCACAAGAAGCTTCGCCGCTATCGCCCGACATGAAAAGCCCCTTCATTACCCTTCTGTTGACTACACCTCCCATCAGCCCCTTCTCATACGTGTACGCACACCTAGATAGTTAGCAGTACATGAGACAAAGCGCCACTGTTTACAAGCTCCAGGTCCTTTCTTTGTAGCTGAGCAGCAGGCTGGCCTTAGGGACGTTTAGCTCGCTGCCTCAGCCATTTTATCACTGAATTACAGGGGATGTTTATGACTAAGCCTAATTATACCGCACTTATCAGAGAAACGTGTGCAGAGCTCATTATTGCAAAGAGCCGAGCACCGCTGCAGGTAATGTGCAATGATATATATTACCTTTCAACGCAACCTAAAACCATTTTTGCCTTTAGGCCATAAAGTGCAACTTTAGAGGCACTTTAGCTTAGAATTCTAATATTGGTCTCAAGTGGCTTTAGAGTTCTCAGATATTGTGAACCCTGTTTGGAGGCAGTTACATGATTTGTTGTGTACCTACATGTTTTAGCTATTATCTAAATGGCAGACTGTACAAAGAATTCAAAAAAGGTACAAAGTAAAAACAAGACTTTCCCCAGAAGTACCAGTTTCTTGTGCCCTGCATAGTTGGACACCAGCATGTGTTTTGGATGTTGTTCACCAGCATGGCATCCCACTAGACTTCTCAACTAGCATACTTAGAAAGAGTTTCTTGGTCAACCACCATCTCAAAAAAGGCCATCTTGGTTGACCACTCTGATAAACGACATTTTGCTGTGTTTTACTAGACTCTACTGCGAATGTGTGTGTTTCTTTCACTCACCTGTGGACTGTCTCTTAGACATGTGAGCAGGCAGGGCCAATCGATGAAGGGCTCGTTTTTCAAGGGTAACACTGTGGCTGGTCAGCATGACTGTTGGCAGTCTGGGTGCAGCGAGAGTGCTGGAAGACGCTCTCCTGGTCCCAGACCTGTTAAGTCGCTTTGCATGGATCTCTCCAGCCATCTCATCCCAATGCATCAGCTTACAAAGTTCCACAAATAAACTCCTCAAGTGTTTCAGAGACCCGCAGGATACTCACAATCAGCTAGCTAGTTCCACCCTGAACAGTCTGCTGTGTTGTCCAGTTCAGTAACCTATGCAAATGTCTTCAAGCATGTACAGTCGCACAACTCAACGAGAAGACCAGACGCAAGACTCACGCCCCCATATAACTGAAAAAAAAAGTTTGCTGACCACAAACCTTTTCATTTCCTCTCTTTAGCTTAGGTAGCAATGCCGGTGTCGTTGTCCAAAATGTATGGGCTTCTGGGCAAACAGTGATATTCTCTGTCACAGCAGGGAACGTGTAGTGAGCGCATGTTCCTCCCGCTAACCCCTTCCCCTGCAAGCATGGTCAGCCCATAACACACATACAGCACTGTTAGCTATGCTAAGATGCTAAAGCACTGGCCAACTATCATCCAAGCATATTCAAATAGCTGTGGATTAGTGCGTCTCAGCTCTCTGCTGCCTGTGATAGGAAAGAACCAGACTTTGTTTTGATAATTTCCCCCTGTTTTTTTCCTTTAAGAATTTCAGGGTTTCGATTCGGCTCCCGCATCTTGTGTGGTGGGTGGCTGTTCTGTATTTTCATTGCAGACTGGTGTGTATGCAGTGTGTGTGTGATGATAAGGCACAGGGAGAGAAGCCAGCGCTCTGACATCTCTCCACCGCCGCGGTTATCGTTTCACCGCAGCTAGCTGTTGCCTCGCACCACATCTGCCACCTCACAAGAAGCTTCGCCGCTATCGCCCGACATGAAAAGCCCCTTCATTACCCAGCTGTTGACTACACCTCCCATCAGCCCCTTCTCATACGTGTACGCACACCTAGATAGTTAGCAGTACATGAGACAAAGCGCCACTGTTTACAAGCTCCAGGTCCTTTCTTTGTAGCTGAGCAGCAGGCTGGCCTTAGGGACGTTTAGCTCGCTGCCTCAGCCATTTTATCACTGAATTACAGGGGATGTTTATGACTAAGCCTAATTATACCGCACTTATCAGAGAAACGTGTGCAGAGCTCATTATTGCAAAGAGCCGAGCACCGCTGCAGGTAATGTGCAATGATATATATTACCTTTCAACGCAACCTAAAACCATTTTTGCCTTTAGGCCATAAAGTGCAACTTTAGAGGCACTTTAGCTTAGAATTCTAATATTGGTCTCAAGTGGCTTTAGAGTTCTCAGATATTGTGAACCCTGTTTGGAGGCAGTTACATGATTTGTTGTGTACCTACATGTTTTAGCTATTATCTAAATGGCAGACTGTACAAAGAATTCAAAAAAGGTACAAAGTAAAAACAAGACTTTCCCCAGAAGTACCAGTTTCTTGTGCCCTGCATAGTTGGACACCAGCATGTGTTTTGGATGTTGTTCACCAGCATGGCATCCCACTAGACTTCTCAACTAGCATACTTAGAAAGAGTTTCTTGGTCAACCACCATCTCAAAAAAGGCCATCTTGGTTGACCACTCTGATAAACGACATTTTGCTGTGTTTTACTAGACTCTACTGCGAATGTGTGTGTTTCTTTCACTCACCTGTGGACTGTCTCTTAGACATGTGAGCAGGCAGGGCCAATCGATGAAGGGCTCGTTTTTCAAGGGTAACACTGTGGCTGGTCAGCATGACTGTTGGCAGTCTGGGTGCAGCGAGAGTGCTGGAAGACGCTCTCCTGGTCCCAGACCTGTTAAGTCGCTTTGCATGGATCTCTCCAGCCATCTCATCCCAATGCATCAGCTTACAAAGTTCCACAAATAAACTCCTCAAGTGTTTCAGAGACCCGCAGGATACTCACAATCAGCTAGCTAGTTCCACCCTGAACAGTCTGCTGTGTTGTCCAGTTCAGTAACCTATGCAAATGTCTTCAAGCATGTACAGTCGCACAACTCAACGAGAAGACCAGACGCAAGACTCACGCCCCCATATAACTGAAAAAAAAAGTTTGCTGACCACAAACCTTTTCATTTCCTCTCTTTAGCTTAGGTAGCAATGCCGGTGTCGTTGTCCAAAATGTATGGGCTTCTGGGCAAACAGTGATATTCTCTGTCACAGCAGGGAACGTGTAGTGAGCGCATGTTCCTCCCGCTAACCCCCCCCCCCCCCCTTTCCCCT